GGGAAGGGAGTTCTGATGAAGTGTTAGAAATATACCTACAAGTGGAGGAGAGGATGAGAGAGGAGGCCAGAGAATATGAGCCACCCTTCTGAGAAGACTGGTGATGGAGGGACAGTTGGTAGCGGCCACTTGACACAAGATCTGGACTCAGCTTTCTGGGCTTAAAAAGTGTAAGTGCATCTGTTTGAACAGAATCAGCCTCGACCATTGTAATGAGTTGCTGCTTGATATTTGAAACCTACCATCTGCTGAGGGAAGCTCTGGGCTCCCCTTCTAATCCTTTGGCCTCCTCTTATTTTTCATTTCATGTACAATTTCCATAATGTCCTTGTGATGTGAGAAGGCTGGACATTGAACATTTCCTGGAGCATTTAAAGGCTGAGTTCCACTGAGACCATCTCATGCTCAATCAATGTGACATGTCTTCCACGGTTCCCGGCTTGATGTTTCCAAGACATGAAATTGGAGATGGGTCCCCAAAGACACTTTAAACTCCCAGCATCACCTTACATTTGCACAGTAATGGCCCAGCCCCAGAGTATTTTGAAAGTCACTGTTCTATCTCATTCTTACAATGCCCCCAAGAGGAGGGAGAGTGAGGAGATAATGTCATGTCACAGGCAATGTCAACCAGCCTGCCAGCAGAGGGCTGGAAGCGCCCTAACTCCAGTGAGACCACATTCTTTTCTCCCACTTTCGCTCTGTCAAAACATCAGCAGCAGTGATAGCTCCTGAAAAAAGGGAAAGAGAGGGACAAGGAGGGAGTCCCCAACTGCACCTCTGTCTAAGTCACTGGTCTCACTGGCCAGCACTGCTGCAGTACATATAAACTCAATGCTCCCTCTAAACTTCTAACCCTGTATTCTCATTAAAAATCCTCCAAAGGCACTTAAAATGTATTCATTACCTAAAGATTTATTTGTTTGTTTGTTTATTTATTTATTTATTAGACACTGTTCTGACTCCATGTATGCCTGCATGCCCTAAGAGGGCACAGGATCTCATTTTAGATGGCTGTGAGCCACCATGTGGTTGTTGGGAATTGAACTCAGGACCTCTGGAAGAACAGCCAGTGCTCGCTCCTAATTTCTGAGCCATCTCTCCAGCCCCTAAAATGTATTCTTTTATATTTTTATACATGTTTGGTTCTTTGGTTGAAGATCCCTCATTATCTTATCTCGTAGTGGCCCTCAACCTTCCTAATGCTGTGACACTTTAATACAGTTCCTCATGTTGTGGTGGCCTCCAACCATAAAATTAATTAGCTGCTACTTCAAAACTAAAATTTTGCTACTGTTATAACTTATAATGTAAATATCTTATTTGTGACCTCTAAGAGGAAGTAGTTTGACCCTCAGAGGAGTCATGCCCTGCAGGTTGAGAACTACTGTTCTTTCTCTTTCTCTCTTGTACCTAATCTCTTCTTCCTTCCAGTTCTTCCTACTTCCATGCCCCTTTTTGTGTGTGATCCACTACATTTAATTAGTCCCTGCATGAGCATGAATGGGGACACCACTTGCTTAAGTCAGGGCAATGTATCAGTGGCTACACCAAGGCAAAATGGAAAGACCGCTGATAATAGATTTCCAGGTAATTCTAATACACATGCAAACTGAGGTCCAGTGAACACGGAAAATTGATGATATGGGGAAACCCTATCAAACAGGGATCATACCTCTCTGAGGATGCCCATGGCGGCAGCTCCTCCTCCTCCAATGTAGCCAGAGCTCAGCACAGAGAGTATCCTTAACATTGCCCAGAGCTCAGACGCAGGGAGTGTTGTTAACATTGCTAGCTTACTGTTAGGCACAGCTGACAATCTGACAATACTCCCCAGTCTGACCAGTTGTCACTACTTTCGCTCTCTTTCTTGACAGTGCTCCCACTGCTAGTGACCCAAGTATGAGGTGCTGTCCACCCCTCATGCACAGTGTGCTTGTTAAATTCAACTTATTCCTTTTCCTTGAATATCAATTGTTTACACCCTAGCTCTGTGGAACTCAATGGAAAAGGTAGAAAATTTCTGTATCCTAGAAAATTCTTTCCTGGCATTTCTCCCACAATGTTCCTCCCCTGTGGATTCCTAGAAAAGAGTGCAGCTTCCTTCTGAGTGACAATCTGAAATTTATTTTATTTACTTGTTCCTCACTGGAATGTAAGGTGCAGGGGGCAAAGGCTTGCTTGACTCCTTTATTGACCATATGTCCGGTGCCCAGGGCATTAAGATGTACTTTTAAAAAACCATCCAAGTCAAAGAAAGCAGGGGGGAGGAAAATGGAAATCTTTTTCTGAAATACCATGGGCTCATCTAGGCTTTACAAACACTTTACTGGGACAAACTTTGTGTGCAGAGTCACTCTGTTGATGTAGTTTCAAAGTCAGAACTTGACTGTTACTGATAAAGAGGGTAAATATGCAATTGCAGACACTAACCAGATCAAATAGATACGTCCATTGTATGAAGAATTCCATGAGTACTACATTAATGAACCATCTACATGTACTTCATTCATGAAGGGTTTTGTCAGTTACCCACATATGGACATGGGTGCAGTTGGCAGTCACCAGAACACCTTTGTCCCTCTTCTCTTAAATATTGCCAGTACTAGGGAGTCACTTGAATGTAATTTATTTTAGCCCATCTCCCTTATGGTTCCCCTTCTGGGGTAGAATCCCATGTGAGTAGGAACTGTATCAAACAGCAATGGTGTGTCATAGTTTTCTGGTGGTACAGACCATCACTTAGTCAATAGTGACAGACCAGTTTCTCTTCATATATGCCTCACAGCACCTGCCAAGTGGCCAATGAACATGATAGATGAACACAGGGCCAGAAGCTGGAGCAAAATAGAACTGCTTGACACTAGTGGTGAGCCACCAACTTGGCAGCCTATTGTACAAGTTCTCTCGTGAAGTGATGGCACTTAACACACAGGATACCTAGTCAGACCCTCACTTCTGTTGAACCACATCAGGACATGAATAGCTTTTTAGAACAAGCATGTCCCAAATATTATATAAAATATGTTTATAATAAAAAAATAAAACAATCCTCACTATTGATCTAGATTCTGGCAAATCTACCCCCAGAAAAACTCCCTATCATGTTTTCCACCTAGAAACCTACTGTATGTGCATGAACATGTGTGTGTTTGTGCCTGTTTGTGTATGCATGTGTGTGTGTGCCTCTCTGTGTGTGTGCATGCATGCTTATGTATGTGCCTCTGTGTATGTGTGCATGTGCCTCTGTGTGTGTGTGTATGTGCATATATGTTCAACTGTGTGTGTCCACCTATGTGTGTGCCTCTCTGTGTGTGTGCACATGTGTAGAGGTAAAAAGGCAACTTGAAAGGATTGCTTTTCTCTTTCCACCATTTGGGTCCTGCAATTTGAGGCCAGGTCACCAAGCTTGGCAGCAAGCACATTTACCCACTGAGCAATCTTGCCAACCCAGAGCCTATAACTACTTTAGTATACATATTATTTTTTGGTAAGTAGTATATTTCACTTTTTCTGTATCCATCATGTCCTAATATAACTGACAAATAGCATGATGGGAGTTTCTCACTATCTTGAGTTTTTTTTTTTTCTCCTAGGAGACAGCATTAGTAACTCCATGCTTTCTTGTCCCCCAGTTACACAATTTGGGATCTCCTCTATAAAATGTATCTTTCCCTAAGTCAGGCTGGGCATTTGGTTCCTTTAGCCAAACCACTAACCTTTCCTAAAACAGTTTCAAATGTAGGCTCTCCAGGAGATAAATGGAGGATATAAATCATCCCATCTGTCCCCACACAGAGGGGCCTGATGACCATTCTGGAAAGCTACATGAGATTTCTACAGTCTTGACTGGTATTTTTTTTTTTAAATCTGTTTTCTATCATGAAAAAAATGATCTAAAAATGCTTGTACAGAACCAGGACAAAGCCATCAGCATGCTTTCTCCAAAAGACTCAGGTTTCCATGGATTTCATCATCTTCTGTCACTACATATTCTGAGATTTTAAAGAGTCATGTCTGCTTGGCAGACAAAATACTCCAAAGTATTAATTGGCAAAATTCCAATTATCTATGGTACATCGCAAAAGGTGAAAATCAAACATCAAAAATAAACAAGATTTAGAGTGTACAAATGGTAAATTTTTTAAGTCATATGAAAGCATTTCTATTAATAATCAGCTGGGGGGAAATGAAGTGTTTATTAAATCAACATGAATACAAAAATAGTTGCCATTCAAGTAAACTTGATGCAGAAATTATGTGTCTGGTAATGTGATCTTTGGTGTTTGATTGGAAAAATAAATTACTTTTGGGGTTTGGAATTGAACCCAAGGCTTCATGAATGGAGATAAATGCTCCACCACTAAGCCATATCCTCAGCACCCTTCAGGCAACTTTAAAAAGATTTATTACTATTGTATGAATGTACTTGTGTATGCACATGAATGTTTTCTTGCATGTATGTATGTACACCATTTGCCTGACTGGTGTCCATGAAGGCTGGCAGGAAATGCCAGATCCACACAGATGGCTGTGAGCTGCCTAACATGAGTTCTAGAAACCGAACCCAGGTACTCTGCAACAGCACCAGAGGGTCTTAACTAATGAGCCATCTCTCTACCACATCTGCAAATTAGTCTCTGTAGATGCTAACATTGCTGAGTCTCTCATTAGAAATGTTCCACCAGAGTAGAACTCAATTTATCTCCTGCAAGAATAGCACTCACTCTCATTTCAAAGTTTGAACCAAAACGGGTAAAGACAAAACCTGAGCAGTTACCAGCTCAATCAACACAATTCTGAAACTTCTGCTATCTCAAAGCTGAGGGTGAAAATGAACAAACAAAAGAACTAAGGGAGGAAGGGAGGGAGGGAGGAAGGGAGGGAGGGCGGGCAGGAGGCAGGGAGGGAGGGGGAGAGGGAGAGAAGGAGAGAGGGAAGGAAGGAGGGAAAAAGGAAGGAATGAATCAAGAAAGAAGGAAGGAACACAAGCAGCTGACCTTTTCTGGGAAGTTCTGTCCTGGAATCCCAGGGTCCTTGCTCAGAAGGGAGGCTGTGGCCACTTCATATGCTCCTCTCTGGTCCCACAAATTCATCCCTGAATCAAAAGAAAAGCAGCTGGGTTTTCATTCTAGTGGAAAAATTTGGCATCAGAAGCTTATTACAAAAATGACACAGTGAAAATACTTGGAAGTTGAGTGAGTCCAGGGAAATGCTAGAATCCATTAAATCATAGTAAGCATTAAAAAGAAATGAATTCTGTCAGTCTCAACATTAAAATACTGTACATTAAAGATGACAATTTTTTTTCTTTCTAGTGCTGTAATCCATGTTGGATTATTAGTTTAGGCAAAGTATATAATTCAGTCCTTCAATTAGCAGCTGAAGTGTACACACAGTGACTTTTAAAAATGATAAATTAGTGCTATACTTAAGATCAACTTGGTATTAAAAGTCCCAAGGCCTTAGCTGTATTAAGACTAAATCCATTTACTTAAGTTTCAGTGAATCTGTTAGACACAATGCCAAGTCTCCTCTGGGCACTTAGGAAGTCTAATTTTATATGCCTTGGTAAATGATTCTATAGATAAAATTAATTTGCCAGTTCAGACTGACTAGACTGGTTTATTATTACTTTTTTTTTAAAAAAAAATAAAGTCATTCAAAAAGCTATCCTACACACTTGCTTCTTGGGGTCTTTCCTGTGGAGCCTGACAGGCCACAGGTTCAATTCAGCCCCATTTCCATAAGCAAACCCGATGGAAAGAATAACATTTTTCTCTTCTGGAGGGTGTATCGTTTTCATAACCAGCATGGTGATTTCTCTGGACTTGTTTGCCTATGAGGTCACACCCTTGCTATTTGGTGGGCCCACAGCATGGGCCTGGAGGTGAGGGATGGGACCAGATTCCCCCACGTGTTATTCCCATTTCTTCAGCCAGAATCCATGATTTTCAGACCTGAGTCATAATAGCACAGTTTCAAGTTACTAAAGACTTCATATTTATGGGGCACAAACGGTATTGAAATTTTAATCCTAGACATTTTACAATTCCCTTAATACTTCTAAATCCACACCATTTTATCATTCTTGATGTGGAAGTCTGCAGTTATAGTCAGGTTACAAAAGGATTACTACTGGAACGTTAACTGTCTCGTGTAGCCTTTCCAGAACATTCTCAAAGCTGGTCTCAAGCATTCTAAACTGCTGGTTATTGAGCAGCAAGGGGTGAAAAGTCATGAACATGGCCAGAGGCAGAGGAATGAACTGGGTCCTTCAGCCATGTTGGGAAAGGGAAATAAGAATCAAGTAAGAGGGGCGCAGGAGGGCAAAGGCACTTGTGATAATAATCATCACTTTTAGCCAAAGAGAGTATGATTGTCTATGAGAGAAGCTTCTGGGCATGTCTGAGAGTTTATGATTGGATTAACTGACTTGGGACTACCCTAAAGTCGGCGGCACCTTCCTATGGCTGGAGTTTCAGATTCAGTGAAAAGGAGGAAGTGAGCTGAGCAACATTTAACTTCTGATTCCTCACTGTGGATGCAATGTGACCAGCTGCCTCGGACTCCTGCCACGGTGCCTCACTTGCCATGATAGCCTGTTCCCTTGACCTTGAACTCAAATAAGCATTCCTGCCTTAAGTTGCATTTGCTTAAGTATTTGGTCACAGCAAGAAAAGTAACTAATACAGTGTTCAGATGACACAAATCTGTGGGTGAGAGATGGCATCTGTACACTTCAGGGGAGCACTAGCTAGATAGAAAGAAATAGAGTGTCTGGAGAGAACACACAAGAATTCCACCTTGCTGCAGTGGGGTCATGCTGACAACCTGGAGCCACTGTCTCCATCTGGTGGTCTCATGGGCTGTGCATCAGGAGTTTGCCATCATGGGTTCCTGGTCCCATAGTTGCTCTGATTCTTTCTTTACTCACTCATCTTGGGCTTGCTTGTGGGTACTCTAGACTTGACACTTCAGAAAGCCCATCTGTCTACTCTGGCTGACTAATAATGCCTATGGGTACATCCTGCCAGCTAACAGGGGGGCGGGCCAGTATAATGCCTGGATTCTAACAATGAACATACTTGGCATAGAGATAACAGAATGAACATGAACAGAATCTTTAATCTGAAAATCCAAACTCTACAACCACTCTCAATACAAACATTCTTGAACTTGAAAATGCGACAGTCACTGTCAAATTCTATGCCTGACTACTCATGATGGTCACCATCACAATGCAGGTATTCTAATGCTGAATGTGGTAAAGAATATGCAGAAGTATAGTTAAATAATATGTGAAACATAAATGGGCACTGGGAGATGGTTCAGCCCATAATGTGTCTGCTGTGCGAGAATGATGATCTGATAATCTAAATTCAGATAGCCATATCCATTGGAAAGCAAGGTGTGGTGGTGTGCATCTGAATTAGGTATGTGAGGCAAGCAGATACCAATGAATCCCTGGAGCTCACTGGCCAGCCAGTCTAGCCAACTCATGAACTTTTGGGTTCAGCAAGAGATAATAATGTCTCAATGTCAACAACAATAGCAATATTAATAAAGTGTAAAGAAACTGAGGAAGAGACCCAATATTGATCACTGACCTCCATCTACACATACATGTATAAACACATCAACAATAGAAAATTGTTTTATAGAAATATAAGTGAATTTTTGCATTTATACATAAGTTCCATCTCCAAAATATCTAGTAACACATGTGCATATATTATTCTAGAACCTGGACAGAAGTTTATTAAATAACTTCCAGTCCCAAGCAAGCAACCAGAAGAGGCGTTCAGCCTGTAAGATTGATCCAGAAAGCATCATGTGGAAAGGGACTGGTGGAGGAGACCCTGCATCCTACATCCTCTGCACCATTCTTGAGTCTCTCTTGCAAATTCAACATTGCCTCAAAGGCAAAGACAACAGCAAGGAAAACCGTGAGAGGAGAGTGGCTGGAGACAAGACTCTTGAGGGAGAAGCTAGGAGAAAACTTTTTTGGGACGTTGTTGGCTTTGTGGGGTGCTTGAGCTGAGACCTGTAGATGAACACTCTCCAGGCCCAGTGCAGCCCCAGGAAAGAAGATCCCATTGGCCATGAAGAGTGTTATCTTCTCTTTGTGCCAGGTGGAGTATGGCTGGCCTGGAAGATGGTCACACCTAGTGCAGCTCAGTTGTAGCTCACCCTACATACAGCATGGATGGCTTCACTGACACTTGGGTGATTTGCCTGGGACTTATGAGACTCACACATCGTAGTGGGTTCTGATCCAGTGAGGTAGTTCCTACAAATTCATACCACAGTGCGCAAAGTGCTTATGAGAGAGCTTATATAGGACACTTGAATAGGGTAAAGGCTGTTTGAACACACCAGAAGTTGTGAACTACCAGCACCATTGAAAACCATGCCAAGTTTCAAGAGTGACTGTGTCCACTGTGGTGTTCTTTGAAGTCAGGTACTATTGCCATGAAGTGGGCACAGGTATTGTATTGGAGCGTCTCTGCCACATAAACGCATCAGCTGAAGTATAGGCTATCCCTACCAGTTTTGAATTAAACTAGCAGTGCAAGTCAATTTGTTAAACTGGCTGAGAGTAAAGCCATGTCCTAGGGCCTGGTACTGGGCAGAAGAAGTCGTCTAACACCAATATCATCTATTCCACACCACCCAACCCCAGCCAGAGGAAGACAGAATGTTTCTGCATACATTCCAGCTACAGTACAGAAATGCCTCAGAAGACTTTCCCACAGAATTCTGACACTTGAAGCAAGGTCTTTGCATGTTCTACAGCCCACATGAGTTGCTGTCTTAGATAGAAGGAGATGGCAAATGGTCCCCCAATCAAGCCATTACCATCTGCTCTCCTAGAAGAGATTCCTTGAATTTGGGAGCATATAAAAGGCCTGTGGGTGGGACACTTAATTTGATCATGCTGAGGCCCAAAAAATCCAATGTAAAGAAACTTCTCAGTTTTTAAGACCAGTTCCTCCACATTCTAGGTGACAGAGAATGACAGCTACTTGATTTCCTGTGGACCCAAATATGCCAAACATTAAACATTCTTCCCTTTCACCTACATTTTTTCCAGACTCCGAGTCCAAAGTAAGGCTCTCTTTTGGCTCCAAAGTTCTCCACAAAGAAACTTTATTTCTAGATATTCCTAGGAGAATCTGAAGGCAGACTGGGCCAATGCTTGTGAGACATTTTGCAAGGCTCTGGAGAAGTTGCATAACTGCACTATTTGCTGAGCACAGTGTTTATTATCTGTGTACAGGAATAATGGAGCCATCTCTGGGCTTTTTAATTGGTTGCACAATATCCCCTCCATGGGATCTGTGGTCAGGAGGCTGTTTCTTATGAGCTTTGCTTATGTATTTATGCACTAGTATTTTTTTTAGATGATACAAATAAAATTTTTATTTGTGCGGCATGGGTAGACAGGATGAATTACACCCAGCTGTGAGATATCAGGATGTATTTTATGCAGCTATCTTGTTGACAAACCGTAAAAAAAGGTCTTGAATGATGCATGCATTCAGAAAATATGACCTTATAAAATGCACAGTTTGTATACAGTTTGTTTTTCATAATCTGTATTTGGGCATCGACAAAACTCACTGTTATCTAAAGAAGAAATGTGGGCAGCTCATACTGGGGAGAAGCATCCAGTTTCTTTGCTCCTGGGTAAACCGGACAAGCCATTTGCTGTGTGGATAAGGGGTCTATAGTCCAGCCTCATCGTGGAAAAAAATGCACAGTAGATACTTTGGTTTCTAATACAAATTATCTGTGTGTGTGTGTGTGTGTGTGTGTGTGTTTGTGTGATCTGTTTGTCCCTCAATCAGCATCTGCCATTTTTAGTCAAGAAAGATGTTATAGACCCACTTCCTCAGAAAAGAATCCATTTAATGATGGCTTTGAATGTTACAGAAAGGATGGCAAAGCAGACATCCCCTAAAATGACCTATCTGTCACCAACCAAAGTCACCTAGAACATGACGTCTGTTTGAACCATGCCTGTTCTGGCTTGGCCCAATCCCTCCTTTACCTAGCTTACAAAGGGGGACATTGTGGCATTCCAAACCAAGA